ATATATAAATATTTTTTAGATCCTTTCTAAATCCCCACCCCATAAGTCCTTATTTTAAATTTTGTTTTATATTGTTTGCTTTTTAATTTTTTTTGAATTAACGATCCAGACCGATCCAAACCCTAACTGCATCGCTGATCTAGCGATTCGATATGGATTTGTAGGTGAACGATCTGCCTCACTAATCTACGTTTTGTAACACTGTTAAATACTAAGTCCTTGGATGATGCTAGTGAACTATAAGAAACATTAGTGCTAGCATTAAACAAGATACGAACTCCTAATCTTTCAACATGTTTCGCACCTGTAGCATTCACCTATCCTCAAGGAGTACACAACGTTGTGAAAGTGAACGCCTCCAGCTTCGAAAACTGCATCAAGGAACCAAACAATGGCATAATGAATTCCGGTTCCGACAAAATTACCCTAGCTACCCCTGGGAACAAGTGGTACATCTGCACCTTTGGGCAGCATTGCGCTTCTGGTGGCCAAAAGCTGAAGATCACAGTGTCTGAGATGGCTTTCGCTCCTGGTGCCGAAGCGCCTACAAGCTCTGCAAAATCAAACACTGTTGATGGACTCACTCTCCTTTTCGGTGCCATCTTCTTTGTGGTGCTAATCGCAATTAATTAGTTCCCATGGTTAACAAAACCATGTTGGGTTCAGTTTGAGTAGTGATTGGAATTATTAGTGGTAAATCCATTGTTTTATTTATTTTTATCATTTGTTTTGGTCGTGGAATATTAGGTGGAGGTTTTTGGGATAGAAGATTGTTCTTCTAAATTTTAAATATGTTTCAATTTTTTAAGACCATTAATGCAAATTTTTTGCATATTTTGTTTGAGATATGGGAAAACTGGACATCTATCGTTGCCATATATCATTGGCCAAATTATGTGATATTGAGCTCTTTTAAAAAACGGAACCAAATAGCATGAGACCGGTTACTATTGCTACAAGGAGGTCACCGGTTACTATTGCTACAAGGAGGTCACAATCACTCTTTGACATTAAATACGATATTGGATGTCTTGGATTGCATTTCAAAGTTCAAGAATTTCCAATTTCCTTTCTGAACCTTGAGTCAAGTCAATGACACATTAATAACCACCTCTTTAAAAATCTGATGGACAAAAGTGTTTTTAGTGTCTCTTTTCCAAAAATAAATGGTCTCTTTTTACTTTTCTTTTATATACATACTTGACTTGTATAATTCTTAAGATGCATGTGTTGTCAACATTATACAATAAAGGATGTTGATGTTGTTTGGTTTAATTCTTTGCATAGTGTGAGTCTTGATAAACGAGTTTTCACAATCTCTCTCCTTATAGAATAGGATGCTCTCCTTATAAATTTTCAAAGTCAATGGATTATAAGCGGAAGATCATCTTCTCAAATTTTTTGAATTTTTAATTAATAAATTTATTATGATTATATTTATGCAATGAAAGTAAAAAATTTAAAAATGAATGGTATACAGCCTTCCAAAAGGTTCTAATTTATGTAAACTGATACTTAAAAATAAGTGAAACTAATGTAAAACAATCAAAATAAGCAAATATGATACCTTCCTAAATTTTTAACATTTAAATTATGAATTATATTGTATGGGATATATTAAAAATAATTTACAACTACATCAAATTTTTAAGAATACTATTTTCTTTATTTGTTTTTCCTATTGGAAACAGAGTTCGATTTTCTGTTAGTCGCTCATTTTACAAAACAGTAAATTATATTAATTGAAAAATAAGAGATATGAAAAGAAGTAATACAACACCTTCCAAATGTGTAGAACTTAGATTGCAAAGTCATTGCACAAAAATGTATTTATAACATTTTAATAAAAGGTTTTTGAAAATTGAGCAATCTGATATCATACTATTCTTAGAAATTTTTTGTTTAATGTTAATAAACACCAATTGAAAGGTGGTGTTAAAATAATTTAACATTACAATACTTAAGGGTGTCATTGGCATAAGGTTGCAGCCTTAAACAATCAAAGCAAGACCCACTTCTGAACTTTTTCAAAAGACGTAATTTTGGTATTGAAAATTATTATAATAGCTTAAAAATCTAATTTTATTTCTAATTGTAAAATTTTTTATTCAAAAAATGGTTCAGATCAAGTAATCTATAACCACTTAAAAATCTTAAAAATGGACGGTCCAGATACTATGTTATAAGACTTATTATAAAAAAAAAATTTTATATTTATACATCTCGAGTTCAAGATAATCGATTTGAATGTTTTTCGTATGGCGAAACAACCTTTTTCCATTCGTTCAAATATCACTTATTTGTTTGATTTGACAACAGCCTTTTTCCCTTCCGACACATATACGAGACCGAGAGTCATCCAATTAGGGTTTTTATTTTTTTTAGTATTTATTAAGAGATTGGAATTTTATACGAGGTTGTTTAGGTTTTTAGTTTTTTTTATGCGGCACTTGTGTCGTTTTTGTTCTTTAGACAATTGAATATAAGAATTAAAATGTCACACCCCAAGAATTTACAATACTGATATTCCTGAGATGTGGCAGTCAAAACATATATATACATCTCTTTTTAGGACAAATTTACAATGGTGAATTTTTAAAAAGTAACAAAAGAAAGTTTAAGCACAACTTCAATATCTTCCCAAAGTTGATCCTGACGAGCACTCAAATGAAACCGCAGTTATCCTGAAAAATGTTTATCATAGTTTGATGAGTTTGGCTACTCAGTAAGTGATCATCATAGTCCTAAAAATAATCATGATTGAAAGATATCAATATTTTCCAAAATGAGATCTATTAATAGAAATGCATCAATCAGTTTCACTTTCAATAAATGCATAATTAAGTATAATCCAAGTAATTGAAATGTTTATAACAGTTTTAACGGCAGTGCATAATTCAAAGGATTTCACAAAATACCTTACTGGCGTTCCAAGTAGGTCACCTATATACCCCATTAGCGTCCTGATGGGTCCACTTAATCCCTATCGGCGTCCCAGATAGGTCCACTTAATCCCTGCAGGTCCACTTATACCTCACCAGCGTACCAGATGAGTCAACTTAATCCCTACCGGCGTCCCAGATAGGTCCACTTATACTTCACCGGCGAACCGGATGAGTCCACTTGCATACTTAAATTATTTCTAAATCTCTTTAAACATTCGAAAGCAGCAATATCATGTACTCAACATATCACTGAAATCATTAATATGAATTTCACTTAAACCATTAGTAACAGTCACTCTCTATAACATTTCAAAAATAACCAATCAAATATTTTGGGCTCAAATTTAGAAAGGTAGCAGTTTGTAAAGGCATTCTAGCATAATTGCCAACTTAATATGTATAGGAAAACTCTTATAGAAATCCAAGAATACAGAATTATTGTTAATAAACACCAACTAAAAGGTGGTGTTAAAATAATTTAACATTACAATACTTAAGGGTGTCATTGGCATAAGGTTGCAGCCTTAAACAATCAAAGCAAGACCCACTTCTGAACTTTTTCAAAAGACGTAATTTTGGTATTAAAATTTATTATAATAGCTTAAAAATCTATCTTTATTTTTAATTGTAAAATTTTTTATTCAAAAAATGGTTCAGATCAAGTAATCTATAACGACTTAAAAATCTTAGAAATGGACGATCCAGATACTATGTTATAAGACTTATTATACAAGTTTTTTCTATATTTATACATCTCGAGGTCAAGATAATCGATTTGAATGTTTTTTCGTATGGCGAAACAACCTTTTTCCATTCTTTCAAATATCACTTATTTGTTTGATTTAACCTTTTTCCCTTCCGACACATATACGAGACCGAGAGTCATCCAATTAGGGTTTTTATTTTTTTTAGTATTTATAAAGATATTGGAATTTTATACGAGGTTGTTTAGGTTTTTAGTTTATTTTATGCGGTACATGTATCGTTTTTGTTCTTTAGAAAATTGAATATAAGAATTAAAATGTCACACTTCAAGAATTTACAATACTGATATTCCTGAGATGTGGCAGTCAAAACATATATATACATCTCTTTTTATGACAAATTTACAATGGCGAATTTTAAAAAAGTAATAAAAGAAAGTTTAAGCACAACTTCAATATCTTCCCAAAGTTGATCCTGACGAGCACTCAAATGAAACCGCAGTTATCCTGGTAAATGTTTATCATAGTTTGATGAGTTTGGCTACTCAGTAAGTGATCATCATAATCCTAAAAATAATCAGGATTGAAAGATATCAATATTTTCCAAAATGAGATCTATTAACAGAAATGCATCAACAGTTTCACTTTCAATAAATGCATAATTAAGTATAATCCAAGTAATTGAAATACTTATAACACTTTTAACGGCAGTGCATAATTCAAAGGATTTCACAAAACACCCTACTGGCGTCCCAAGTAGGTCACCTATATACCCCATCAGCATCCTGATGGGTCCACTTAATCCCTGCAGGTCCACTTATACCTCACCGGCGTACCGGATGAGTCCACTTATACCTCACCTATATACCCCATCAGCGTCCTGATGGGTCCACTTAATCCCTACCGGCATCCCAGATAGGTCCACTTATACCTCAGCGGCGAACCGGATGAGTCCACTTGCATACTTAAATTATTTCTAAATCTCTTTAAACATTCGAAAGCAGCAATATTATGTACTCAACATATCACTGAAATCATTAATATGAATTTCACTTAAACCATTAATAACAATCACTCTCTATAACATTTCAAAAATAACCAATCAAATATTTTGGGCTCAAATTTAGAAAGGTAGCAGTTTGTAAAGGCATTCTAGCATAATTGTCAATTTAATATGTATAGAAAAACTCTTATAGAAATTCAAGAATACGGAATTATTATTAATAAACACCAATTAAAAGGTGGTGTTAAAATAATTTAACATTACAATACTTAAGGGTGTCATTGGCATAAGGTTGCAGCCTTAAACAATCAAAGCAAGACCCACTTCTGAACTTTTTCAAAAGACGTAATTTTGGTATTAAAATTTATTATAATAGCTTAAAAATATATTTTTATTTCTAATTGTAAAATTTTTTATTCAAAAAATGGTTCAGATCAAGTAATCTATAACCACTTAAAAATCTTAGAAATTGACGGTCCAGATACTATGTTATAAGACTTATTATACAAATTTTTTCTATATTTATACATCTCGAGGTCAAGATAATCGATTTGAATGTTTTTCGTATGGCGAAACAACCTTTTTCCATTCGTTCAAATATCACTTATTTGTTTGATTTGACAACAACCTTTTTCCCTTTCGACACATATACAAGACCGAGAGTCATCCAATTAGGGTTTTTATTTTTTTTAGTATTTATTAAGAGATTGGAGTTTTATACGAGGTTGTTTAGGTTTTTAGTTTTTTTTATGCGGTACTTGTGTCGTTTTTGTTCTTTAGACAATTGAATATAAGAATTAAAATGTCACACCCTAAGAATTTACAATACTGATATTCTTGAGATGTGACAGTCAAAACATATATATACATTTCTTTTTAGGACAAATTTACAATGGCGAATTTTTAAAAAGTAACAAAAGAAAGTTTAAGCACAACTTCAATATCTTCCCAAAGTTGATCCTGACTAGCACTCAAATGAAACCGCAGTTATCCTGAAAAATGTTTATCATAGTTTGATGAGTTTGGCTACTCAGTAAGTGATCATCATAATCCTAAAAATAATCATGATTGAAAGATATCAATATTTTCCAAAATGAGATCTATTAACAGAAATGCATCAACAGTTTCACTTTCAATAAATGCATAATTAAGTATAATCCAAATAATTGAAATGCTTATAACACTTTTAACGGTAGTGCATAATTCAATGGATTGCACAAAATACCCTACTGGCGTTCCAAGTAGGTCACCTATATACCCCATCAGCGTCCTGATGGGTCCACTTAATCCCTATCGACGTCCCAGATAGGTCCACTTAATCCCTGTAGGTCCACTTATACCTCACCGGCGTACCGGATGAGTCCACTTAATCCCTACCGGCGTCCCAGATAGGTCCACTTATACCTCACCGGCGAACCAGATGAGTCCACTTGCATACTTAAATTATTTCTAAATCTCTTTAAACATTCGAAAGCAGCAATATCATGCACTCAACATATCACTGAAATCATTAATATGAATTTCACTTAAACCATTAATAACAGTCACTCTCTATAACATTTCAAAAATAACCAATCAAATATTTTGGGCTCAAATTTAGAAAGGTAGCAGTTTGTAAACGCATTCTAGCATAATTGCCAATTTAATATGTATAGAAAAACTCTTATAGAAATTCAAGAATACGGAATTATCACAATTTATGGGATATCAATCCACAAATAAACATTTCATAACAATACTATAATCAATTGCAAAAATGTCAATTTTTAAATAATAAGGCAGTCATTTGCACATGAATTTTACAATGTCTAAATATTCAAAATAGTAGCAAGAACTGTCACAATTTTACTAAAAGCAGAAATATCACATTTATTTCTAACAATAGACAAGAAAAATAAATAAATTTATTTTTCATAATTTACAGCATTCAATATTTCTAACATAGATAAAATATCACAATTTTTATTAAACAGATTATTTTTCATGAAGATGATGTCACTTACTCACAAATATTTGAGAGGGAGGTTCCGATAAAAATTCGGCTCGAGAGAGGAGTTCACTGTGTTTCGACCAGAGAAAAAATCTCAAAAGTTTTCTAAGGTAGGAGTCTTCACCTCTCTGAATTTAAATTCTACCAACATATTATTTTATTCTTTTATTACGTTACAGGTGTGAGCGTTAGTTTACGCGTTAAACACCTCAAGCTTTTATTACGTTACAGGTGTGAGCGTTAGTTTACGCTTTAAATACCTAAAGCCCACGTCCTTTAGTGGACGGGGCAAGAGCAAGAAAACACAAAGCTTTTAAACGAAAAGCTTTGAAAAGTAGCGAAGGTCCCTAAACACCATCATGTTCAAACGAATCATCATGTATTAAAAGTTTATTTCCTTTTTTTCTTTTTTCTTTTTTTTTTTCTTTTTTTGAAAGTTTAGGATTGTTACATAAAATCTAATTTTACATAGACGAAGGGTGCGGTGCAAATCAAGTAGAACTATAAATACATGAAATTTCAAGATACACTGGTCGACAATTGAAAATCTATTTTTATATCTAATTACAAAATTTTAAACTCTAAAAATAGTGCAAATCAACTAGATCTATAAATACATGAAAATCTTGAAAATGGACGGTCCATATAATGTGTTGCAAGATACATTATTTTGCTGACTGAAATTTGTTTTTTATTTTCATATTCATACATCTCGAGGTCGAGATGATTAATTAAAGGATTTTCCAACATCCAAACAACCTTTTTATTATGAATTTTTTAAGTGCACCGTTAATTCTACATTTTAAGGATGAGACCTTATATAAACTTTTTGCATAGATAAAAATCTAGGATATGGTTGTGGTTAGGTTTTATGGGATTTTTCTTCTTTTTTAAGCAAAAAAATATGTAACCATGTGGATAAAATAAGATAAAGAGATAATAAAATTAATTTGTGGGTCATGTAAAGAGATTTTTTTATTTTAATAGTACTTTGCCTTACATATAAAGAAAGATTTATAATCTCCCACTCTTTATTTTTTTTTTGTTTTCTATTTTTTTTTTTTTTTCCTCCGTCTTCCCTACATCAATAGGTATTAGATGTTCAGAAGATCCATCCACCAAAATAACGCCAAAACCTACTTTCATGATCTACGAATTCATGGAGGTTGTAAATTAGAGCATAAATAAAGCCATAAAAGATATTCGAGTCGAGATCCACCAAATTTAAAGAATGAACCAATAATTGTAATGCTAAGAAAATATCAGTCACCAAGAAGACATTTAGATCTGACACAAAATCTTAACCTTTGAAAAAGCAATGGAAAAGAAACTTCGAATACCAAGAAAAAGAAAATCTCAATGGGAAAGATGCTGACAATAATCCAAAATATCTATAAATTTTAATAATCAATTATGAGGAAGAAGAGATGCTGTGACATGTCAAATACACCTCGTGCATTTAAATTTTCAACATGGGACAAAACCTCCCGTATATTCTTATTAGGAAATAAGGCAAAACTACGATAGTAAAACTATAACTTCGGAATTTATAGGCCTTTTGCAATGCATGATATTGGTGAGAAAAAGGTTTGAGGGCTGGTGTTGTGTCGTTGAAGGAGATTCTTTCGTGATGTAATTAACAGAGGAAACCATCTTGGAAGTGTTTTTCTTTGGGACATCGGTGTTGAGATGGATTTTTCCTTTCAATATGTCTGTAAAGATGCAAATGAATCGGCAAATGGATTGGCAAAGAGGGGTATTTTCTTGGATTCTAATTCTCCGGTGATGTAACTCTATATATAGTTTGATTAATAAAATTTAAGTGTAAAAAAAAACCATAACTTTGGAAAGGATATTAGTTTGAAATACGTACACGTATGAAGAATTCTTTAGATACCTCATTCTCGTGTTTGTTATATAGGAAGGCAATAATTACTGTACCATATGCTTTTCCGACTTTTGCGGTATTTTGTGAAAAAATACAGTTTTATCTATAGAAAAATATTACATAGAGTTGAGGCTCTAAACGATCAAATTAGGGCCGACGTAAAAAATTTCATTAGAAGAGGTTGTTTTGATGCCCAAATATCCTCAAATTAATCATCTCGACATCAAAATGCATGGACAGGAGAAAAAAATTGATTTCAAGTTTTGGAAATAGTGTATTTTGTAACGTATTTTTGGACTGTCAATTTTCAAAATTTTCAAGTTTTTATAGATTTGTCGATCTACACTATTTTGAAGCTTTAAACTTTATAAATAAAGATGAAAATATATTTTAAGACTATCACAAAAACTTCCAGTATTGAAACCATATTTCTCGATACTATTTGAAGATCGGCTCTAATTTGATTGTTTAGAGCCTAGGCCCTATACAAACCTCACCCTTTATCTATCTAATGGTAAAAGTACTTTTTCTTCTTTCACACTAAACAAAAAAGGGCTAGGGTTCGAGATGAAAATACCCCCGCACCTTATTCTATACGTTGTGGTTTTCATTTTCATTAACACCACTTTACAAATACCTTCGAAAAACAAACTCTTAAAATATTTGAAAAAATGGGTAGGGCATGTCTTCTCCAACGAATTAGTCTTTTTGGAAATTGGTCTCATGGAAAAAAATAGAAAACCACAACATATGGACGATTTGTCATCACCTATAGGGAGTTTAGGCCACAAAAGAAACAGAAAATTTGGTCGAAGTGAACAAGGGGAAAACTCCAATCCAAACAAACATTCCCTTTGGTCCTTACAATGATATTTGAATAGTCAATGTAGCATGATATTTCAAATAAATAATTTACCCAATGATTTAAAAAACGGATCAGTGACCCAAATCGGGCATCCCAAAGATTGGTCCGAATCGCCTTTTTACTATGTGAATAAATAGTGAAACAACAAAAAAAACACATGAAAAAACAGTAAACCGACCCATAACTAGTTTGGATCGGTGAATCAGCAGTATGATTCGTTGTTTTACTATAAAGAATCATAGGTTTACTATGTTGAAATGTCGGTTCCCTTCTAGACTTAGTCGTTGGCTATATATGCATAGAACCGAAACGGAGTGACTGATTCCCCTGTCGGAACCGCGATTCCATGCCGATCTGGAGGTTTTTAAATCATTGGTTTTACCTGATGGAGTAAATGGTTAGTACAATCCGGCAAGAATATAAATTCTTTTGGTATGCAAGAGTACCTTGTTTAGTAAGTCTTAATGAAATATTATATACTTTACATGTCCTTGACATTTCCATTCAAATCTATACAAGGACTCGATGAAGCCCGGCAGCATCAACCATATGTGCTATGCCGCCCCTAGACGGCCACCCTAGATGTATTTTTTATTCTAAATTATTTATATGCAATTTTGTTTTCTTTAGGCCTGATAAAATGTATAAATAGGGAGCTTGGACACAAAGGTGACCCAACCCAATTGCAAAGAGTTGTGAAGCAGTGGAAACCCTAGAAACCTAGTTTCCATGGCCCATAAGCTAGCCCTCCTCCTTGCCGTTGCTGTTTTACCAGCCATTGTTTTGGCTACTGATTATGTGGTAGGAGATGATAAGGGATGGACCATCAACTTTGACTACAATGCTTGGGCTCAGGGCAAAGAATTCATGGTTGGAGACACACTGAGTAATTTATCAAACTTTTCGAAACATCATTTAATTGTTATTCTTGAATGAGCTTTCTATAAGTCCCATTCATAATTTATGTTTTCAAAGGCACACTACCATTTGATCACTTCATATGGTTGAGAGTGAGGCAATAATAGCATCACACTTAGTTATGACCTCACAAAAATAGTTGATGCCAGCCGATGACATTGTTATCTGCTCGCTCTTTGTCACCCAAATAGCAATATTCGGTTGAAGACTCCGAAAAGGGCTTCCCAATTATGCATGACTTTCTCTTTTCTTTGAATTGTCTCTGAATCTTTGAAGTAACATTCTGTTTGTTTGGCACATGTTTAGCATTCAACTATCCAAAAGGAGTACACAATGTTGTGAAAGTGAACGGGACCGCTTTCGAAAACTGCATCAAGGAGCCAAACAATGGGATAACAGATTCCGGGTCCGACAAAATTACCCTGGCTACCCCTGGGAACAAGTGGTATATTTGCGCATTTGGGCAACACTGTGCAACTGGTGGGCAAAAACTGATGATCACTGTATCTGACATGGTCATGGGCCCTAGTGCCAATGCCCCTTCAAGTTCAACAAGGACAAACATGGCTAAAGGACTGGATATCTTTCTTGGGGCCATCTTGGCACTAGCTTTGCTTGTGGTTAATAATTAGTTGCCATGGTTTTTGTACTCCATGGAGTGCAAGTGAAAGGGAATATTTGAGTTACTGGTCCATTGTTATTATTTTTCTTTCATTTCTTTTGGTTGTGTTACCATTTGAAGCAGGATTTGCTCATGAAAGGTTATTCTTCCACATATTAAATATGAGAAGATCTTTTTATACCATTTACATTGAAATTTTTGCCTTTTTTTTTTGAGACATGTGAAATTGTGGGCATATATCTAGGTTGAATCCATGCTATAGTGCTTTCCAAAGAAAATTTGGTGAAGAGCACATATACTGTGCTCCCTGAAGAGCATATCCCTTGGGCGAAAGACTTACTAGGGAGGATCACTTCGATCTGAAATTTTAGGATCCACTTAAAAATCACTAAATTAATTTCAAAAAGAAAAAAAATGAAAAACTGGATTTTGAGCTCTTCAACACTTAGATCTTACTTTCTAAAAATGAGATGGTCTTGCATCAATCTTGGAAGGCATATATAGGGTGCAGAAATGTAACTTTGCTTTTTTAGGTCAATTACTAGGTTGAAGATGTTGCGTCCACAAAAATTTTGGGGTTCTAAAAGTTCTATTGGATTGAGTTTTACCCGAGGGAGCAAATAGCCAGCATGCTCCAGCGGGATTGCGAAAATCTTTGTGAAACCATACTCTTTATTTCTTTCCAATATCATGATGAGTGGCCGAGAATTTATGGGATGCAACTTAATATTCTGTAACCAGTAATACGAGAACAAAGATGTATGCATATCAATAGTTGCATAAATATCCAATCCTTTTCGTTGTAGCATTGCAACAAAGCATGTTCTTTTAATTATTTTCTACAAGTTTTATCATTATTAAGAAATGCATAAATTGAATAATTATGGTAATTAGGATACTTCAGTTCAAGTTAAGAAAGACAACAAATTGTTAGAAAGGTCGACTCAGGCCGACTACTAGGTCTAGGCCCAAGATGAGTACTCGGGCTGAGTCCAAGTAACTCGGACCGAGTAGTGCCGAATACTGTAGCAGCAAAAAAAGGTTAAGAAATTATGAAAATATAAAAAATCCAAAAACTAGAAAATGTATGCTTAAAGAAAAATTAAGAAAAACACTTCAAAATGAGCTTAAAAAGTAATTTAAAAAAATATATTATAAGAAAT